GAAACCCTCAAGGTACACCTGCTCCAGCGCACGATTCTCCGATAGAAACCGTAGAAGGTCCCGGACGGGTATGGCGTTTTGAGCCTGGCCGTCACGACGGGAGACCCTGTAGTAGATGATCAGACGCGTCAACGACGAGCCTAGGGCGTTGGTAGGAAGGAAGGGGATATCCCACATCGCGAGCGAGGACAGGTTGAGGCGGGAACCTCCGAATAAGGCCATGTCCCTCCAGTCTACACGTTGGCCGGCGCCGCGCATATGAAGCCGCCGGAGCGAGGTCGGGGAAAAGGATAGCGAGGCGGGCGGCGGGTTTCCTGCAGCCAACGCATTGTCCAGGTGTCCAACGTCGACCTTAACGTGCAGTTCCTCGACTTGGTGGCCGTGCTTGCTCAGGAAGGCGCACGCAATCCGATCGTAGTAATCCGGGGCGTCTGCGCCAACGTAGAGGGGTCCCGCACCAACGCAGTCGGGTGGAAGGCGTGATACATGGAGGGGCTGGGAGGTGAATCTTGCCTTCAGTCCGTACGCGCAGGAAACGCTGGTCCACAGCGTACTCAGCCCTAAGGACCGCCACAGCTTGCAGACGAGAGTGACGGGACGCAAGTCGCTCGTGGCCCTCAGAAGATATGGCCCGCAGACGGCTTGGACGTCGTCATCTTCGGGGAACACAGGGTCCGGAACGAGGGCGAAGATGGCCGTGATCAATTCAGGTAGCAGAATTCTATTAATCGGTGCGCGTGCGTTGATCGCCGACCGGACGTTGTACTGTGCAGCTTGCAGAAAGGCGGCGATCTCGTGCAGCTGCAGGCCTCCAGCTCGTCAGAACACAGTGAGACGTCTGAGGTTGTACTATTCACCTTGTCGATGCTACGAGTCTACGTCAGCTCAAGGGGCGCCGAATAAGAAAGGACGTCCGTACCTAAGATCGCTGTCTTCGTGTGCTCGCTCCGTCTCCGTCACGAATGATTTCGCCCGTTCGTACATGTTCATTGTTACGATGGCAAGGAGAGGTGTGGCACAAGACGGTGGCCGGAGGAGAGTCGTCAGGCGGGCTCGCCGCTCGCGCGAAAGTCACATCCTCGTATCTGTGGGCGCAAGTGGCGGCTGCCGCCCACCACATCATCACATGGCTGACCGAAGTTAGGTATGTACCCACGAACCCCTCACCATGACAACGGTGGATGGCCGCCCTGCGTAGAAGGCTCATAATGGCGGGAGAGGCTTGGAGAGGCTTCAGTAAATTGTAACTTACTTGCTTATGAGCGCCACTGCAAGTCAACAGTAGCACTCAGCCAGACACACCACCAGGTCCGCATGTCACAAGGAACAGCGGTATGGACTAGTATCGCACTTACTACACAGGTGGGACCCTGGCGCTCACAGCACATACTCGAAGTCGATCCACTTCGGACGTTCCAAGAACACCCTGTCAATCGTGAAATTGGCCGCCTCTTGCTTCGTCAGGACGTGCTCCAACGGGATGCGCGCCGACGTGTTTCCCCCTGGACCTAGTGAGTTCATCGAAAGCAGCTCAATAGGCATCATTATGGCGGCGTGGAAGCTGTCTCACCGAATGAATCGTACTCAGCGTAGAAGGTCGTGTTCATGATGACCGGCCTGCGCGCAGAGTCAGACATGAAGATGTGCGTATTGAGACAGCTCTGCGTACCTCGCGCTGTCGAAAGGGGTCCAGCCGACGGGGTTAATACTCTCGTCCATGAAGGTGCGCAGATACACCGTCGTGGCTAAATCGTTCCATGGACGACCCAAGAAGCACCTTCCGTCAGTCACGGCCGTCGCGTTGGCATCAGGGGACTGCGTGTAATCGGCTCAGCATTATGTCAAAGTAGATGCTTTGGAATCAAGAGGCGACATACGCGAATGATTCTGGAGTTGGATATATATGCGCCATACCGGTTACCGGGCGCATCTGTGAGATTGGTACCCTTCCAAGCGGTTATGCCCCCACCGCATGCGCGATTTGCCAGCGTGACGTTCTCGAACCAGCTGTGCGTGCGTGTCATCAAGACTTCGAAGGGCAGTGCCCGTCGGGGTGAGCAACTCACGCAGTCCCAAACCCAAACAAATCTGTGCTACTGTCAGCATCGTGCCAAGTCGCAGCGTGATGGGACTCACAGTCCGTCTGCCCGAATATTATACTGTCGACGACGTACGTGCTCGCGTTGCGTCCCGTGTACCACGTGTCCTGGTAGCTCGCAAACGTGCACCCGTAGAACGACGCGTTCGCGTACGATATGTCGGTCACCAGCGCCTGCGATATGGAGAAGTTGGCCTGCCGCCAGGTATGCATCGGTACGAGGACGTAGCCGCACATCATCCGTATGACTGACCGCTCGGTTCTCGAAGTCGATGTTGTACGCCTTGAAGTCGACGTTGCCGAAGAGCGACTGGAGCGGCGCTCCGGTGGGCCCTGCGCCGATCATAGATGCGTTGAAGGAGGGCGCGACGAGGAGGACGGCGGATTGTGCGTCGTCCATGCCGGTGTGGACGAACTGGTCGTTCCAGATGTGGACCAGGTTGCGAGTGGATGCAGTCCCAGCTGGGTCGAAGGCAGTCTGAGGATTGAGTTGGCCCTGTGCGGTAGAACTTAGCAGTGCTGCTCAAAGGAGGAGGATAGGAGACTGACCAACAGAGTCAGTGGGCCCGAGCGGGTAACATTGATCGTCTCGTGGTACTCCCCAGCTCCTACGAGGATGGTCGCGGTTCCATGCTCGGGTCTTACCATAGTCAGAATGAGTGGCTTATCATCGAATTTGAACACTCACAGAGACGAGATAGCTGCTTGCACGCTGCTGAAGTCCGCGCGGGGGTCTTGAGACGACACGTAAAGCGTCCCTCGTGCGCAGCCGGTCAAAGGATCGATATGTTGTGGTTTCTTCAGCTGGCATGCGACGTGAGAAGGGGATAATGCCCAGACATTGTAGGCCGCTAGGAGCGCGAGGAAGAGCAACGACCACATCCTGGACGACACGAATGACTGCCAATTTTGCTGAGCGGGGTGTGAGCAGGCATCAGCCGTTATATGAGCTGCACTCGGGCCGTTGAGTGTGTCATGGGATCGAGTTGTATTCGTGACGCGTTTCCTAGGAGTAAGTATGACCTTCCGGACAGGACCGTCGGGACGCGACGTCGTTGTGGGAGCAGTTGGTCTCGAGCGTGACCTTGAGCGAGGTAGGTGATTCAAGTTTCGTGAATGAGTAGAACAGGACAGTGGCGTTGACGATATTGACTGGACCACGTGGTGGAGGTTGTGCGGAAGTCGGCATGTCGAGCTGGCTGCGCAGGCGATGATAATTTGCCAGGTGCCTTGCCTACATGCTAGCCCGAGAATAACGGAGATGTTCGCTGCATGGATCATGATGCAGATGGACCTAGACGGACGCTGTCTCGCCGCCGGGCGCGTATGTGTTGATGTCGTTATTGCCATCAGTATGGCGTATGCGCTGTCTAGGTATATATCCCGAAGTAAAGTACGCATTCTATGATGAAACCTGTATGAGAGCCTCCATCCTCCCTTCCGAATCCTCCGATATGAAAGCTGCTGGACGTCAAGGCATCGGGGTCATCGAGCGACGAGGATGATAACGAAGACGACGATAACAACGAGGACCAGGATGACCGAGAGCAGCGTTGGGCTTATCCTCGCGACAGGATACATCCCGCGGATGAGGGCGTGCTGAATGAGGAAGTATCGCGCGACACCAACAACGAGCGTGAAGAGCCCCAGCCCTATCATAACCGCTCCAAGCGGTCGCGCGAACCGCTCTACGTCAGAGTTCAAGGTTGAGGCGGCCAGGGTGAATAGCTGCACGAGGGCTGGTTAAGAGGTCCAGGATGATGGGATAATGGTCATCGGTGAGCAGGGCAATAATACTCCTGCAAAACTGCGTTGACGTACCGACACCCGTCGACGCGATTGTCAGGCTCGTCCGTGCGTATGCGAGGAAAGTGCGCTCGGACGCGAGGTGGTCGCGTGCGACGCTGCCCGAGTTCTCCAGTGTGAGCAACAGCCCCCATTCCTTCATGAGCTCGCGCCACCGGGGTTCCCTCCGTCTCGACTGCGGCTTCATCTTCGAGGCAACCTCTCCTTCCCTGCTCTCCCCTTCACATACCCCTCGGCCTCCTTCGCACGTCCGGCTCTCTGCACGCTCGCACGACGTCTCCGGAGGCGTGTCTGTCGATTGGCTTTCTCCATCTCGCATGGGACTTCGCCCTCGTCTCTCGAATCGCACGCGGGAGTGCTCGCGCGAGGACGGATTTGGCGACGATGGGAGGTTCGGCGACTCGGATGGCGGTCGGCGCGTTAGGACAGTCGGGAGCTCGAGCATAGTGGCCATCGGAGGCAAGACGAAAGTGGTGAAGAAGAGTGGAAGAAGAGGCGGCCAACATTGAAAGACGCGGCGGCACAAGTCGGTATTTCTGGTGAATTCGGAATGCGGGGTGCTGTTCTGGTCACTGCCTGCCATATCTTGACGTCATATGGCTGGTCTTAAAACGTCTGAAGCATGCAGGATCAGGTGCGTCGTACCCGCGACGAACATATCGGCATTCGAAATGGGAGATGTGCGAGGATGCTGGGGGAGCACCCACGAACAGGGCACGAGAGCTGACAGTGACACCCGGACACCGGGAGTCATGCTGGATAGTCTTGTGTAACGTGCGGGTGATTGTCATCCTGGACCATGGAGATGTACTGTACCTGAAATCATCTGAGTTCGCTGACCCGACCCCCTCCGCACCGACGTTACAGGTGGTACTTATGGTGCCCATGATTCTACTTGACCATCCAGATCCGTTCATGCGTCGCTGAGAACACGCCGATGATTTGCCCTTCCCCTTATTCGCAAAACTATCAGTCACTCGGCCGGCAGACATGGAACCGCGATGGCGCAAGAGATGGGACAGCAGGAACCATGGGGCAAAAACTTAGAGTTCGGGAACGAAAGACGGTTGGACCATATTCCAGGTTCGTTAGAAGATGGACATGTCCGGGATTGAACCGGACCCCTCTCGCACACTGCACCTTCGAGGTGATGCTAAGCGAGCGTGATAACCAACTACACCACATGCCCATAGATAATTCTTGCCGGAGCGGATCACGGATTGCGAGCAAGCAGCACGAGCGCATGAGACGCAGCGAACTGTGTGCTCTTGGTGTGCTCTATCGTCATCTTCCCGACAAGGCGCACGAGAGTCTGTATGAGGGTACAATCGCGAGTGTCGGCACGTCCCTCCAAACTCTAAACAGTCCGAGTTATATAAGATGGTGCGTCGAGCATGCTTGGAGGAACCTCCCTTTTCCTCCCCCACCGTCCACGCATCTTCTCACTTGTCAAGCGTACCGGCGCGGGTGTTCAGTAGACTAACTAGTACTCTAAGTTTCTAACTAGGCAACAACTTGGCAAAAGACGCATCAAACCTCGTCAGCCAAATTGCGTGGACTTACCGGCCACCGGTCACCACAGTAACCGGCTGGGCGGCCTCGAGCTGCCTCGAGTCATGGTACTTAGCCGTCGGCGGAGGGGCGAGTCACTGCCAAGTCGCTGCTCAGCGTTCAGAATCAATCGTCCTCCTCGCAAGCTCTCCGCCGCCCGATATTTCGGAGGGTTTCATTGGCTCAGAGCGGGCATTCACCGAGAGGGACGAGCTGCGCTCAAGTTACCCAGGGGCTTGAAACCCGTCCGTCACGGCAATGGAGCCTTACGCGCGCGAGAAGCCCTCAGCTCGCTTCTGTTTCCTGCCACGGTCGGTCCCGCTGTGACGCTGTCCCATTACTCGCTGGCGGTGGAAAGGTGTACATATAACATCTCTACTTAGCTTGGGCACACCCATGACTTCGTTCCAGTTCGCGCTCCTCTGAGCCAAACCCTCCGACGCAGCCATGCGGAATCCATTCCGTCGCTCGCCTGCACCTCCAGCATACGGTCAGGGGAAGGTTGTTCCCGAGACTAGAGCCTCGTGAGTACCTTCCGTTGATCGCGCACCTCCCGTCGTTCGTCGCCGCGTATCGCTTTTGGCACTTAACCCCAGCGTACCTGACGCCACCAGGGTTATCCACCTCGTGGTGCAGACGCATGAATCTCGTCCGTTGGTGTCGCGGTTTCTCCCTCATGTATGCGCCATATACCAGTAAGCTGACAAAGTTTTGATCAGTCCGCTGTCCAGACTATTCTTCTCATGGTTGGATCCCTTGCTGTATGTGGGGTTCTCTCGCCCGCTGCAGGCTGACGGTATGCACCGCTCATTTCGACTCAGCCCAAGTTGGATGTCGCCTCTGACCCGGACGCACCTTCTTTGGACCTGCAGACTTCTGGTCTCTGCCCGACTCGCGTCTCACCGGACATGTGACGGAGCGCGTGGAGGAGGCGTTCTACAAGCAGTGTCCTCCAGAAGAGTGCCCTGCTTTCCTCCTCGACACTGGGCAGGCATCTCCGAGCGATAATCGAAGCGGAGAAGTCACACGCCATCCTTCTCAGTCGTCACAGAAGGCGGGCACGGAGGAGAAACCTGCGGATGCAGGGGGCGCAGCTGCAACAAAAATGAAGTCCGAGCCTTCGCTTCTGAAAGCGCTGCATAGCGTGTTCTGGCGCCAGTTCTGGACGGCTGGTGTGCTCAAGCTCATATCTGGTATGTAGGGCATATCATGTGTCTTTGACGACGCCGACGGGACCATTTCTGGCAGATACCCTCAACACCACTACCCCGCTTGTCAACCAAGTCCTCCTCTCATGGCTCACTTCTTCGTACGTCTACTCCCGTGCCAGCGACGAGGAGCGTGCCGGTCTTCCAAAGCCCCAAGGCATCGGGTACGGCATTGGGATCGCATTCGCTGTCTTCGCCATGCAAGGTACGCATACATGCTGGTTTGTCCAGACACACTGATTGATTGGTGACTCCAGAGGTCTCCGGTTTGGTATGTACACAATTGAGCGACGTTTATACTGGTACGCAGAATGCTGATTGGAGCTCGGTTCCTAGATGTCGAGCCACTACACGATGAGTACGTGCTTCCTCCCAGTCCGACGTCCACCTTTGCTCAATGCGCGGGCGTAGTTGCAATGACGAATGGTTTATGTATCCGCACAAGTATTATTGGGGCTATCTTCCGGAAGTCGCTACGGCTCAGCGGGCGAGCACGTATCCAGCACGACAGCGGGCAGATCGCCACTATGATCGCCGCCGACTCTGCGAGGTTGGACCTTAACAGCCTGACCATCCATAAGTGAGTAGGCCGCTACAGCGTCGGGACGACCGCTCCGGGTGCTGATCAGATCTGCTAGCCTGTGGATTGCGCCGATCCAGATTGCCATCGGCATTGGGCTCCTTATCCGTAATGTTAATTCAGGTCGGGTACTGAAAATGGTGTATAAGCTGACAAAATGCACCAGCTCGGAGTTTCAGCTTTGGTTGGATTGGCGGTAAGCAGCCCTGCAGTACACATTAGTGAAAGCACTCATCACAGCCCCCTCTCTGCATCAGGTCCTCATCTTCGCGTTTCCAATACAAACGATGCTCGCAAATGTCATGTTCAAACAACGTCTGAAGGGTGTCACCCTCACCGACCAGCGCGCGCGCAAGACCAGCGAAGTGCTGTCGGGAATCCGCCTGATAAAGTACTACGCATGGGAGCAGTTTTATGCGCACCAGGTCGGCATGGTTCGAGAGCGCGAGGTGGCGACAATGCGTCCTATGGCGTAAGTGTTTCAAGATTATAGGGATTGATTTCGTGTATACTGACCGTCGCCCAGTGCCGCGCTTGCATCATTGATCGGGTTTGTATCGGTGGTTCCCATCGTCGGCACCGTTCTGTCGATCGTACGTATCTTCTAGCTCCAGTTCATCCGTGGACCTGATGTTGAGGACCATGTCAGATTACATACGCACTCACGGGCCACTCGCTCGACGTCGCCATCATCTTCAGTTCCGTCCAATTCTTCAATGTAAGTTCCACCTCTCTGTGTCTTTATTGCATACACCGAGCTCGACTTTCTCAGATCATACGCATGCCGCTCGCCTTACTGCCCATTGTCCTCGCCCAAATCATGGACGCGCTTGTCGGGGTCCGCCGCGTCTCCACCTTCCTCCGCGCCGAAGAGCTCGCTGTACCATACACCATAGACCCCGCGAGCGAAGTCGCGCTCGATGTCGACGGCGACTTCACATGGGAAGAGGTTCGCAAAGCTGACGGTAGTGCTGGGGACAGTGACCCAAGGCGAAGACCGAGAGCGACGAACAGGGCAAGGACCTAGGCAAGGGCAAAGACACCGAGCACACCCTTCCAACGACTGCGTGCCCCGAAGAGAAGGTGAACGAGAAGGGCCAGGAGGATAAGCCGTTCGAGCTCAGGAACCTCAAGCTGAAGGTGCCGAAGGGAGCATTCGTGGCTATCGTTGGGCGTGTCGGATCTGGCAAAAGTTCCGTGCTGCAAGCGTTGATCGGGGAGATGAGGAAGATCAGGGGAGACGTGAGTTTCTCCTTCCTTAGCTGTCGTGACCTTGACGGTGACACGAACGTGTTGTAGTGCGTGTTCTCGTCTACAGCCGCGTATGTGCCCCAGGCACCGTGGATCATGAATACAACGCTCCGCCAGAACATAATCTTCGGACAGGAAGAGGACGAGGAGAAGTCAGTATCTACATATCTGAGGTGCACCTCCCCCTAGCAGCAAGGCTGATGATGATGCTCCTCAGGTTCCGCCAGATCATCAAGGCGTGCTGTCTCGAGCCCGACCTGGAGATGCTTCCGAACGGCGCGGCGACCGAGATCGGAGAGAAGGGCATCAACCTCAGCGGCGGGCAAAAGGCGCGGGTCGCGCTCGCGCGAGCAGCCTACTCTGGCGCGGAGATCGTGCTCATGGACGACTCGCTCAGTGCTGTCGACTCGTACGTCGGCAAGAAGCTGCTCGATGGCTGTTTCCTGCACGGCCCGCTTGCAGACAAGACGCGTGTGTTGGTGACGCATGCGCTGCACGTTCTGGACAAGACGGACTACATCTATGTCATGGATGAGGGCAAGATCGTCGAGCAGGGAACGTATGACGTGAGTGTAACATCTAGTTCATAACGTGCATAGGTCTACTGAGTTGCTGATTATGTGCACCGGGACGGCACCTACAGGAGCTCATACAGAGCAGCCAGATGTTCGCGCGGCTCATCGATGAGTACGGCAGTCAGGACAAGCAAGAGGAACCAGACGTCAACGACCTACAGAAGCCTGATGCGAAGCAGGAGGACTCGAAGGCTGCTGTGCCAGAAGCAGCGCAGAACCTGGACGGCGCGCAAGACCTGATGCAGGCGGAGGAGCGGCTGACGGGCTCGGTGTCATGGTCCGTGTACGCGAAGTACTTCCGCTTCGCTGGCGGCTTCCTCGGTTTCGCGGTTCTCGTGTTGTTTGTCGTGCTCTCGCAGAGCGCGCAAGGTGAGCGGTTGCCTTCTTTGACGCGCAGTGTCCGGTCTGGTGTGCTAACACGTCCTGGGCTAGTCGCGAACACGCTATTCCTCGGTTTCTGGACGTCGTCTACCATCCCGGGTTCAGTCAGGCCGATTACATGGGGACTTATGCCGCGCTCGGCGTTGGGAGCGGCATCTTCTCGTTCGCGCTGAGTTTAACCGTCAGGTTCGTGTTATTTTCGCCTTCGCTGGTACGCTTGTGTGCTGACCGAATCGATGTTTCAGCCTGCTGAGCTTGACGGCCGGCTTGCGAATGTTCAAGGCGGCGTTCAATGCGGTCGTCCGGTCCCCGGTGTCGTTCTTCGATACTACCCCTATAGGTGAGCACTGATAAGAGAACGTAGGCTACCGTGGTGCACGTTTCTAACAAATGCTACAGGTCGTATCATGTCGCGATTGTCGAAGGATCAGGATACGCTCGACGCTGAGATGTCAATCATTGCCTCAAACGTGAGTATGGAACCCTTGCGTCCCCAGTATCGTTTGATTCGAACTACTTATTATCCCCTCCATAGCTGCTCCTGACCGCCAGGTGCGTAGCATGTGGAAATTACGTCTGTGAACGCTGCTCACAGCACACTGTAGTTCGGTTGTCGGGACTGCTGGTCTGGTGTTTTACACCT